TTCTTCCTCCTTTTTTATCTTCCTCTTTCCTATTCTTCAACAGTATCTCAATATATTCCAAGGCTGAGCTAAATATCACTCTCTATGTAGCCCAAGGTTACCTCAAATTCATTTACCTATTGTCTTGCCTTCTAAAATGAAGAAAACCTAGATGTATGTCATCCCCAAAATTTCATCAATGAAGATAAATACTATTGAAGTGTATCTTAATTAATACAGTAAGTTTTATGTGATTAAACAACAGATTATTTTTAGGTTTTACTTCAGTTATGCCTCTAAAAGTTAAGAAGGGAATGCATTTCTCAAGGGAATGTAATCTATATTAAAACAAACAAAAAAAACTAGCTACCATTTATATGATAATGTTTACTAACAGAAGAAAATAAATTATTTATTACTTACATATATATTGTCTTGGCTGATTATTTTTGTCAACTTGACACAGCTAGTTTTCTGAGAAGGAATATCAATTGAGAAAATTCCTAGCTATTATTTGCCTATAAGCATGTCTATAAGGTATTTTTTTAACTAGTGATTGAAGGGAGAGTGCCCAGCTCATTGTGGGTTTCTGTATATCAACAATTAGTTTTTATCCTGCTACCCAAAATAGCTGTCAGTGGAGTCAGAGGAATCATGCACACTAATTCATCAGAAATTAAGGGCATCTGTCAACTCATGTAAGTTTCAACAGTGGAATCAGTAGTTACTCTGTAACTGCTCCACATCTCTCTTGACTCTGGCTGATGTGCCAGCTAAGCACTGTTTTTTAAAGTACCCAGTGGGAAGTTTACCCATCTATATAACCCACTAGTAGTTCTGTAAACCTATAATTCTGAAGAGCCTTGATTTGCTCTCAGCTGTAATCTGCTATAATCCATGTACTTCTGTGCCTGTGTAGATAACTTTTGGAAGGTACATATTGACATGCTTGCTAGACTCCACACTGTAAAAGGCCTCTAAAAAGAACTTAAAATTTAGCTTCAAATCCTCTGTTTTGGTTTCCACACTAACATACCACCATAAAGAATTGCTGAAATTCTTGCCTTCAGGGTGCCCTTATGCTGCTTTAAACCACTGGTTCCACAAAATACTCTGAATTAGACCTGAAACTTGATTTCAGATGATTTGGCTGTGTTGTAAAAGATGATCTCATAGACATGGTTTCACAAAGATGTATGACTCTTTAAGTCACTGTTACAGTCTTACATGGTTCATCCTTATATGGTTGTGAATCTCCATATCAACTGTTCCCCTTTTCAGAGTAACTGAAAGAAGTTCTCTCTGAGAACATGGGATATAGTATGTAGAGAAATGTTCATAAAGATTAATGACCTGACTTTATTACCAGTGGCTGCTGTGGGATGTTCTGTATGTTACGTGTGTTGCTTGATTGGGTAATAAATAAAACACTGATTGGCCAGTAGCCAGGCAGGAAGTATAGGCGGGCCAAAGAGAAGAGAATTGGGGGAAGTGGAAGGCCAAGACAGAGAGACCTGCCAGCTGCAGCCATGACATGCAAGATGTAAGGTACCGGTAAGCCATGAGCCACATGGCAACTTATAGATTAATAGAAATGGGTTAATTTAAGATTGAAAAAGTAGATAACAAGAAGCCTGCCATGGCCATACAGTTTATAAGTAATGCAAGCATCTGTGTGTTTATTTTATAAGTGGGCTGTCGGACTGCGGGGGTTTGGAGGGACTCGGAGAGAAAACGCTCCAGCTACAAGTGGCCATCTTGAAACACACCATTAATTTATTCTAAGTCTTCACAACAAAAATATGAGACGAGAAATGATCAACCACAAAATCACGGGTGACAAACACCTCTCGGTGGTCTCAGGTTCAAGCTGAAGGTATCCAACTTCTCTGTGGATATCAAAGAACTAAATCTAAATACTTGTACATCTCATACATGGACAGGGGCATTACCTCCACACATGCTAGTCCTCTCATGGGATAGTCTGCCTTCCTTTTCTATCACACTTTTTCATAATGATTGCTTGTGTTCTATTTTTTTCCTGGATCATGAATACTTTTTATTGCAAGTGCTGTATTCAGTCGAAAAACTCTCTATTATAGCAGCAGATTATTTCTTGGAGAGTAAATTATTCGTATTTCTTAGCACACATCACCATAAACTAGTTAACTGAACCTACAAACAAACCTCATCAAGTACAAATCCAACCAACTAAGATTTAGAAGACAATTAATTCAATTCTTTAAAATCTCCTGCAGATTGGTGCACCTACTGCCCTTTCCATTGTGGGCTCAAAATCTGATAAAATACAACCAGCTCCACTCAGTTGTAATCCTAGAGCAATGTCTTCAATAATTATACCTCAAAAAGAAAGATCATACATTGATAAAATAATACTTTTGTTTTCAAGTACTGTGTTCAGTTTTTTGAGGATTATATATCCAGCATAGTTATAAAAACATGGCGGAGACTTGAAAGTGTTTATTTAATGAGACATATTGGTAAAATGTGGTGGTTCTATAATAATTTCAATATTTATGGTTCTACTTTGAGTAAATACATAAGGTCATTTTCATATATACCAAGTCTCATTTGTTACATGGGGTCACATGATATAACTATGAATATATAACCTCAAAAATACTATAAATTTTAGAATAGGTGGCAATGTCCCTTGATGGATATTCTTTTGGTATTACAAAACTTAAATAAGATAACCAATGATATTCTCTTAATTGATGTTGCATTACACGATAGAGTAACCAAGGAAATAAGTCAGAAATATATGCAGAAACACATTCTTAACAAAATATGACAGAAACACTCATGTTATTTATAATCCTCGATTTCATAACTGGTCACATGGCCTTAGGTGGGATTTATAACTACCTTCTTCTACTACTCATTCTGTATTTTCCCCACTCTCAGCCAGCAACACCTCAGCGGGTCTCAGTTCTTTCCTTGGGGGAGTGTCTCATAACTTCATTCCTGAAGGGTCTGTGCACTTTGTCATCCTGCCAGGATTAGGGTGTTGTAGTTCCCCATTGATTTTAATTACAGGTCACAATAGCGTCAACATATGACTGAAAGGATCTCCTGCACACCAGACATAGCTTTTTTTGTCTCCATTGAGGAAAAGCAATCCAATTTCCCCCTGGTAATCATCCCCACCTCAACACTGTTATTTTCTTAGCCAGTTGACCTGAGAGCATCAGAAATCCAGCATGGCCAGGCCAGCCTGAGCTTCTAGGTCAGTGGAATGTTTGCTGTGTCTCTTGGCAGTATTGCTCCCCCATCAGGAACCAAAAATGTCTAGGCCAAGAGAACTTAATGTCTTGGGAACAGGAAGCAATTTTTTTCTAGTAGCTAGCTCAAGTGACAATGAGTGGGAATATTCCTTTGTCCACCCATTGATTCCTGGACTGATTAATTCTGGTCATGGGAAAAAGTGTACCTTATGTGGGATGCCTTTTCAAAGAATATACTGCCTTCTAGAGATCTATGTCCCAGCCTGCCTCCCTCCCCCAGGATGTTGCCAATTAATTGGCACTGTGTCTTCAAAAGATCATTCCATCTTTCTATCTGGTATTCTACTTCATAATGGTAAGGAACATGGTGAAGCCCATGGGTTTCACAATCATGGGATCACTGTCACACTTCTCAGGCTATGAAATGAGATCCGTGGTCAGAAATACTATGTGGAATACCACACCTAGACAGATACCCAGAAAAAGAAATTTGCTAGATCAATGGTTGCATACCATGTACCAAGAGATGTGTTAATATGCTCAAGTAAGGACACCATATCTGGTATAGCAACTTCAATCAGAGTCATTACCTGATGGAGTTTTCTTTTTTTTATGAAATTTTACACCAGAATTTATTATTTCATGTATTTGAAGAGATGTATGAAATCTAAAAGGGTTACCTTATCATTTAAATTTATAGGCCTTTTGTCCATATTAGTTGACAGGTGTAAACAAAATAAAGAGATATTATAATGCTTGAACAGATTATTGACACATTTTATATTTTTTTTCCAAAATAATTAATCTTGTGTAATTAAATGTAAGTATGTTGGCTAAAGATCATAGCAATTCATATATATTCAGATTTCCTTTGGTATGAATTTTTTGGAACTTCAAAGTCTAATGTTATATTCAAAGGCTTGAAGAGACCAATTACACACTAAAAGTTTTATAATTATAGGGTTGCTGTGTTTTCAGTAGGCATTACCACATTGATAATATTCAAAGAGTTTCTCTACAGTGTGTCTTTTTATATACTTGAAGATGACTGGGGTGTGCAAAGGCTGTACCCCGCTGTTTAAATTCATAGGGTTTCTCCCAATTATGTGTTCTTCCATGAAACTGAAGAGCAGTGTGATGAGCAAAGGCTTTACCACACTGATTACAATTGTATGGTTTCACTCCAGTATGCGTTCTTTTATGCTTTTGAAGACAAGAGTGATGAGCAAAGGCTTTACAACACTGATTACATTCCTAGGGTTTCTCTCCAGTATGTGTCTTTTTATGCCTTTGAAGAGTATTGTTCGAGCAAAGACTTTACAACACTGGTATTACATTCATAGGGTTTCTCTCCAGTATGTGTTCTTTCATGCAAATGAAGAGCAATGTTTTGAGCAAAGGCTTTACCACACTGATTGCATTCATAGGGTTTCTCTCCAGTGTGGGTTCTTCCATGCAACTGAAGAGCAGTGTGATAAGCAAAGGCTTTACCACACTGATTACATTCATAGGGTTTCTCTACAGTATGTGTTTTTTTTTTTTTTGGTTTTTCGAGACAGGGTTTCTCTGTGTAGCTTTGCGCCTTTTCCTGGAACTCACTTGGTAGCCCAGGCTGGCCTCGAACTCTTTTATGCTCTTGAAGAGGACTGTGTTGAGCGAAAGCTTTACCACACTGATGACATTCATAGGGTTTCTCTACAGTATGTGTTCTTTCATGCCTTTGAAGATCATTATGACGATCATAAGCTTTCCACACTGATTACATTCATAGGGTTTCTCTCCAGTATGTGTTCTTTCATGCCTGTGAAGAGTACTGTTATGAGCAAAGGCTTTCCCACACTGATTACATTCATAGGGTTTCTCTCCAGTATGCGTTCTTTTATGTGATTGAAGAGTACTATGATGAGCAAAGGCTTTCCCACACTGACTACATTCAAAGGGTTTCTCTCCAGTATGTGTTCTTTCATGCGATTGAAGAGTATTGTGATGAGCAAAGGTTTTACCACACTGCTTACATTGATACGGTTTCTCTCCAGTATGTGTTCTTTCATGCCTTTGAAGATCATTATGACGAACAAAAGCTTTACCACACTGATTACATTCATAGGGTTTCTCTACAGTACGTGTTCTTTTATGTACTTGAAGATGAGTAGGGTGTGCAAAGGCTTTACCATATTGATTATATTCATAGGGTTGCTCTCCAGTATGAGTTCTTTTATACTTTGGAGCATGACTGTGATGTACAAAGACTTGACCACACTGAGTGTGTTCAGATGATTTCTCTGTAGTATGACCTCTTTCATGCCTTCCATGTTTTTGAGAACTTTGACAATGTTCTTCATCTTCAAGAACTTCCCAATTGTGGCCTATAGCAGTGAGGTTCACATAGGTCTCCAGCATCACATCTTTGTAGAGATTCCTCTGTGAAGGATCCATCAATGCCCACTCTTCCTGAATAATGTTGACATGCACATCATTATAGGTCACTGCATTCATAGCATGGTTTTCCAGATCTCCCATGTTCTCTACTCAGTTTCTTGCAGCAGAACTCACAGCACAGCACACAAAACCACTGGCACCAGATCCTCAAGCCAAGCCTGAAGCCCACAATGCTGATGGAGTTTTCAATAATCTACTGTCATTCTACATTATCCATCTGTCTTCTGCACTGGTCAAATAAAAGAATCACAGGGAGATGTGGTTGTAGCTAGAGTTTTCCTGCCTGGTCCACAGTCAGGACAAATCACTCTTACCCGCCAGTCCCATAGATGCTCAGACCCAACCAAGTAAACACAGAGACTTATATTTCTTACAACCTGTATGGCCATGGCAGGCTTCTTGCTAACTGTTCTTATATCTTAAATCAATCCATTTCTATAAATCTATACCTTGCCACATGGCTCCTGGCTTACCAGCGTCTGCACATGCTGCTTGTCATGGCGGTGGCTGGCAGTGTCTCCTCCCACCTTCCTGTTCTCTCAGTTCTCCTCTCTGTTAGTCCCGCCTATACTTCCTGCCTGGCCACTGACCAATGAGTATTTTATTTATTGACCAATCAGAGCATTTGGCATACACACCATCCCACTGCATGTGGTGGAAACTGCCATCCCTGAATATTTTAAGTCTTTGATTGTGGCACTGATTTCTGCAATTCCTTCAGAATTGTGATACTGTTTTCATTCACTATTTTTCATTGCAGAGGTAACTCTAATGGCTTCCATTTTGCCTTTCTATTTGTAGTAGCCCTCACTCCACAGGTCAGGATATCTATCTGAATTTCACATTCTGTGATTGAGGAAAGAACCACAGGATGAGTTCATGGACCCACTGGACCTACTATAAGTTGAACTTAAGCCCAAACTTCTTTAATCAGTTTATCTCCATAAGGCCCTACTTTATCTGGAGGGCCACAATGTTTCTTAGAGTCTCCTGAATCAATGTCAATGTCAATTCAGAACCATTATCAAAAAGACTGTGGAATGTTTGAGTTTCTTTTACCCCAGAGCATAGTTACCCTTGTAAAAGTCCATAGGTTCCTCTGTTGAAGGACTGGAGAAAAACTAACAGTAAAAGTCTTAGGTGTTTTATTAATTTCCTTCTTCAGGAGAATCTGGCCATCCCTTTATTTAAGGGGGTGTATGTCTGTAAACGAGTTCAACTCTAGAAATTGATTCACAGGTCAACATTCCCTTCTGTCATTATGCAGTGTAGCCTTTCATTGCTTCGAGAATTTTTCCACTTATACAGATCAAACAGATATGCAGTAGACCTATCTATTATTTGCCTGTAAATACCATGATTGATTAACCAATACCAAAGATCCATATGAGTCATGTCACCATAAAATTGACTTTGCCTGTGCTGACCATTATGAGTCAGGCCACTATGGACATTGTTTTGTCTATGCTGCCACAATACTTATGATCACCTTCCTTTTGCAATTCAGTAGTGCCACCTGGCCCCTGCTATTTCAGGACCCAACTAGATGCACTGCATTTAATCCATCCAACCAAGCAGCAGCATCTCCAATTCTAATGTTTTTCACAAGGAAAAGGGTGACAACTAAGCTCTCAAATGTACTGGTGCCCCTCTCATCTTTTTGCCTCTTATAGTGTTAGTGACACGCATGACTTCTGGGCCATTGTAGAGGAGAAGGCTTTACATTGCATACCTGGTGATATTTTATTTGTATTAAAATATTATTTGTATGTTAATAAATAAAGTTTCCCGGGGGTCAGAGCTATTAGCAAGCCATAGGAAAGCAGGGCAGTGGTAGCGTACGCTTGTAATTCCAGCACTTGGTAGGCAGAGCTGGGTAAGTCTCTGTGTGTTCAGGGATACAGCCATTATTGGATACACATGCCTTTAATCTTAATACCAATCATGGAAAACCTGGAGGCCTATACAGACAGGCTGTGAGGAGGCGGTCATGTGGTTGGGTTTACAACCAATGAGAAGGCAGGACAGGAACTCTATATAAAGACTTTAACACAGGGGTAGCTCTGGTTCGGAGAGGTAGGACCACTGCAGGAGGAAGGGTAAGGTTTTAGCTCTTAGCTCTGACCTCTTGGCTTTCTTCTTTGCATTGGTTCTGTTTCTTATTTAATAAGAAGGTTGGATACATCTACACATACCCACTCCAGCATTCCAATTTTTCTGAGCCTTAAAATCTCTTCATCAATACTAGGCCAAGGGATATCAGGCATCTCTAACTCCTTTTCAGTAGCCCATCTTTTCACAAATGCTTCAGCCAATCATTCAAGTAAACTTGTTTATACTTTTTGTAAGCTGTTAAATCCTGGTGCATGCAGAGTTCACAGGAGGATATCAGATCCCATGGACCTGAAGTTACAGATGACTGCGAGATATCAAGTGGGTACTTGGAAGGGAACCCAGGTCTTCTGAAAATGAAATAAGTTCTACTAACCACTGAGCCATCATTCCATCCTCTAAAGTAGTGGTTCACAGCCTTCCTGATGCGTCAACCCTCTAATACAGTTTCTCATCTTGTGGTGTTTCCCAACCATAAAGTTATTTTGTTGCTACTATGTAAATGTAATTTTGCTACTGTTATGAATCATAATGTAAATATCTGATATACAAGATATCAGATATTCAACCACTAAAGGGGTTGCAACCCACAGGCTGAGAACCACTGCTTTACAGTAACATTTAATTAGATACTCTCTCTCTCTCTCTCTCTCTCTCTCTCTCTCTCACACACACACACACACACACACACACACACACACACGCACACGCACACGTACACGCACACGCACACACACACACACACACATACACACACACTAGGGAGATTTATATAACAACTATTTCCTTCTTATAAAGTCTTAATGACAAAGCAAAGTACAATTCCATCAACGATATCCCCAGTGAACCAATGCAATTTTGGGGCTTAGCTTTAGAATGTAGGTGAGGGATTGTTTATCGAAGTGGGGATAACCCCAAAACAGCTACCTTTAAAATCTTTATCTTGCTTGGAAAATGGCTTCCTGTTAGCTACGTAAAGAGTGTTAGACCTTCAGTATTCTTCCTCAGCCTATATAATTTATCACCTCCAGGGAAAATCCCTCCAAACCACAGAAAGTAGAATTGCATACAAATAGCTTGGTGATGCAGGAAAGAATATGTCTAAATCTCATGTGATGGTCAGTGTCCCTCCCTGTCCCATCCTTCTCACCAGGGATTTCAAAGACAAAAGGCCTGTTTCTGATGGTTATTTGCAGTCAGACTCTATGGATCTGATGAAAATGGCTGCTTTTTTGCTTGATAACAGTGTTATACAACAGGTGTGAATTAATTTCATTTATAGTAGCACATGTATTATATATAATACATTTCAGAAATTATTGTTACAATAATATAATGATGTATATATTACTACTTCAGCATTGTGCATCAATTTCAGCTCTATTTTATTGAGAATTATATGTTCCAAATCACTTTCAGTATTTCAGATTTAGTAGTCATTGTATATCATACAGATATTGCAACTGCCAAATATTGTCAAATTTTGAATGTAAAAGCTTTGCCCACACTTTGAAATTGAGCTGTAAATGAAGATAAATAACAATATATGTTTACATTTGGACATAGAACAACACTATTGATGCAAAAATCAAGAATAATATTTACCAGGTAATTATTTTTTAATCAAGAGTAATAAATGTGCTTCAATTTTAGGACAAACTTCTCCCATAAAGTGTTTATAATTATATATTCTTTTGAAAAAAGAAAACTGCTTTATTTTTAAAGGCAAATTATCTAAATTGTTAGTAAATGTATACTAGCATTTGTAATTATGTTATTTTTCTATTAATTATTTTTATTACTCTATTTCATATTTTATCATATTATTTATAGCTCACTAATGAACTTACACAGACTTATTGCATTATTTGGTAAACATTGTATCAAACTAGAGAACTAAAGCAATAAAGTTAATGTGATTTAAGCAATAAAGCAATTCTGTGGAATTTAATTAAATTATGGAAAGTTATCCTATAAAGGATTTAAAACTGGTCTCTACAGTATGGGTCCAGATTTTCTCATATTTAGAAACAAGGAAAGTACAAATTATCTAAAATATGTACTTTATTGTGATAACCCCTTTAAAATGAGAAGACAAAATTGATAATATCTATAGACCTCACATTTTCCATAACTAATAATTCAATCATACCTACAAGAAAAAATGCTAAGAGATTTAAAATCAGGTCTCAGAATGTTTAATTCCAATTTTATAACTATTTATTTTGATTTTTGTTCTATAATTTTGTTTTTAATTGTGTGTGTGTGTGTGTATGTGTGTGTGTGTGTGTGTGTGTGTGTGTGTGTGTGTGTGTTTCCCATGGAATGTATGTGGAGGGTCAGGAAAACAACCTTTGGTAGTTATTCATCACTTTCCAATTGTTGAGGTAGCATATTTCCTGGCTTATACTTTGCATACTCTTTGCTAGAAGACCTGCAAATATTGAGTTCATCTTTCTGTCTCCTCCAAGCTCATTAGAAATTTCTTAGAAATGATTTAATAACAGGATTGGTATTGAATTCAAGTCATCAGGCTTGCAGGACACACCTGCTGTCCTTCTGGAGAGGCCCCAGAAATTTCATTTTTAAATCAGAAAAAAAAAAGCCTAACAGTTTGACATATTGTACTAGAGTATATGCTCGTGGTAGATCTCTTCCCTAGAATGGCCCTGTAATCTGTTCCCAACATTAATAGATAATGTACTTTTTTGGGACAATGAAATAATGTTAACCTAAATATAATGTAATATATTTATATGGGAGAAGCAATGCAAAAATCTCAAAAACTGTCATTTCCATAGAAGGGAATCTTAAAAGATTCCCTAGAATTTTAAGCATACAATTTTTATCTTTTGGGCCCATCACACACCACACACACACACACACACACACACACACACACATATATATATATACTCATTTGAATCAATTAATTGGTCAATCAT